CCGAGCGGCAGCCTTTAAAGCGCAGTTTGGGGTTTTTAACTCGGAACGTGTGGTGGCAGCTGATGCGCTCCGAACTTTGATCTGACGTGGCGTGTAGTGCTGTGTGCTTCAGTTTACCAGGGTAAAGAAGGTAGGTTAGGTCCGTGGAGTGGTTTCCAAATTGCGCGTATCTGCTATTAACGCGTTATGTAAGTAAAGCTGGAAACTTCGATAAAAGTATTTCCCCAAGTCAGGTGTGCTGACTTATAGAAACGGCTTTCACCCAGTTAGGAATGCTTCAGCATTTTGTTGATCCAGAATGTAGGTCTATTTTTGATGTTGGAGCTATGCCTGCGTAATGGTGCAGTCGATAGTTTTCATGGTTGATACTGAATTATGGGTGTAGGAAGAGCTGTCTAAACAATTTTCAGGAAGCTAGGTTTGTCTAGATGGATTTCCTTATGTCGGTATCCTGTGTTTCTTGGACAAAGTTTGTTTCAGATTCGAGCTGGTGTTTCAAAAGTAGTTACTTAAAAATTCCCATCTAGGATTATGTATTAATGTGTATACACTACAATAAAATATTTATTGTACTGATGTATTGCCATTTTGCAGCTGAATACAGCTGCATATGCTATTAGAACACTTGAAACGGCTGTTGCGCATGTCATGAGAAGAGTTAAGCTACCCTTAGTCTCTTTTTGCTTTTGTCTCTAAGTATATGTTTATAAGACATTGCCTTAAAAGGAATACAGTCGCGTCTTCCAGGCAAAAGATTCTTTTTAGGTGCCTTTAATATTTCATTTTTATTACTGATTAACCAAATGTCCTTTTGCAGCCTCACAAGAAGAAGAAACCCTTCATAGAGAAGAAGAAAGCAGTAACGTTTCACTTGGTACACAGAAGTCAGAGAGATCCACTTGCTGCTGATGATACTGCACCCCAGAGAGTTCTGCTGCCTACACAGAAAGTAAATACTCGCTTCTAATATTGAGGTTCATTCAGATAAGAAATGCTGCAGGAGAGAAAAGTGGATATGCAGCTGTACAATTCAAAAACATAGCCTGAGAGAAGGTAGTTTTTAGTCCAGCTAAAAAGAAGGGGGTTTTGTAGGGAATTTGGTAGTTGTGAGTTACTACCTGATGGGTTGAAGGATGACTAACTGGCATTAGGGATATAAATGTGTTACAAAGGCAACAACAAAGCTTGCCTGACCCACCCTGAAAAAACAGGCTTTGTTAGTTATGCTGTTTATGGAAAAAGTTGTTTAAGGTCCTGCTCAGACAGCGCCTGAAGACTGAACCAGATGGTTACAACGTTTTAATTGCATTAGGGTAATGAGTGGAGAGAGGACTACGAGGACTTTAGAATTCAGGCATTCTCAATGGATGTGTTACTTTTCTTTTTGCTAGTAGGTTTTAAATGGACTTAAGTAACTAAACATGTTTCTTTTTACAATTCCAAGGGGCACGAAGAGAAAAGGAGGGAAGAGCAGCGCAAGTATGGAGTCTTCTTTGATGACGACTATGACTATTTGCAGCATCTAAAAGAAGCCTCTGGTCCCTCTGAGCTTGTCCCTTCTGTGCGTGGACAGCAAAGCAGAATTGTTGTCACAAGTGAAGGGCACATAGAAGATGAAATTCAGCGAGTTCCAGTAAGTACTGGCTTTGCTAATAATAACCTTATGCTGTTCTTTGGAGTTTAGCATCCTGTAGACGTGTTAATCATATTCAACAAGTGGTATCGTGACTGTGATCTATATAAGATCCTTTTGACCCACAATCAGACTTCCCTACAATTAAAACCAAAAGTTGACAAGCCAAAGTGTATTGATGAACAGTATTTTGCTAGCACAGTGTTAAAACACTTTGTGTATCCATGACAAGCTTTTCTTGACAGAGATGGCTTATGAGGTATTTGTTTTGAACAAGGCTTGTGTTTTTCTGGGTTTGGCATTTGGTTTTAAGATTTTTTTTTAGAACTTTTGAATGCTCTGGGAGTTACCAGTATACCAGGTTGTATTACCAGTACTCCGTGTTTTTAAAGTGGAATGTAACAGAACCCAGAGGGAATAAACCCAAACTTCTCAATTGCTGGCGTAACTTGTGGAATTGCATGATGCTAGGTCATGTTGGAATGGAAAATCAGTAAGTAATTTCAAGCAATGAAGTATGCAATTGCCAGTCGGCCACTTTTAACTGAGGGAGTTTAGTTTAACAAAATACTGTAATTTTAAATGAAACTGATGTTTTGAGTCAGTAATACCTTTCAGGTACAGTTTGGTGATATTACATAACATCTAAAGTTATTTTACATGTGCATGTTAGTAAGCTTTTAATAAGCCTTTCAATAAAGGGGTAATTTCAAATGTGTGTTAGTTTCTCCAAAACAACAACAAAATTACAGATTTCATTATACCTGCAGTACAGCCATTCTCTAAAAAGCTTCAGACATGCAAAAATACTGTCTCTATACCTGGAGAATATTGACATGAAAATGAATGCTGCCAACACTTTACCTAGCTTTCATTGCATAACTTTGAAAGTTTGCCACCAATAAAGTAGTGCTTGTCTCAATATTGTAAGTAGTACTCACAGTTTCTTTTCGTCACGTGATTATCTGCACATTTTTGCTAATGTAAGCTCAAATGAGAAACTGAGAAGAAATGTATTGTGATGTTGGATTTTTGTGTCTTTTTCTAAGGCTCCATCTATTAAGTTGCCTTCCTCAGTATTTGCCACAGAGTTTGAAGAGGATGTGGGCTTGTTAAATAAAGCTGCTCCTGTTTCAGGTATAATTAAATCTTATAACTTTCTGTAACATGAGTTGCCATCTAGGTACTAGATGGTAATTGTGGCTTTGATCACAGTGTCATACTAGTTTTGGTTTAGAACAGGCTCAACAGCAGACATAACGAATGATCTGTGAGACCCCTGTGTTTCAATTTGAGACCTATTTCTGTGATTCACTAATAAAAGCTTTTTAGCTTTGCTTGGGGGAGTGGAATCCATGAGCTCTTGCTGTTGTGTAGCAAATATAAACTAATAACGGGAAAACTGTAGATAATACTATTGATGTATTACTCCATCTGTTTGAATCCAAGTCTGGAACTGGATTTTCACTCTCAAAATTTCTCTTCTTTTCAAATGCCGAGTGATGTTTACTTTCCTTCAGTAGTAGTTTTTCAGTCTTACAGGCTGTAAGTCCGCTTTTGTTACGTATCCACGCTTGCACTGAGCATTCACTTTACAGCTATCTTAATATTTTATAACAGGAAGTAATTGTGGTAGTTCTCTCTGTCCCGACAGAAGGATGCCAAAGACAATTCTGTTAATTGCAGTAGAGAAACGCTTTCTGGCCTTGTGTAGCATAGGGATTTTAGGGGGTGGGAGCTAGGGTTGGCAGTTGATCACACAGTACTTTAACTTGGATATTTTTTTATTCTACAATATTCTAAGTAAAATACATTAAAATACACTTATGGAACCTTAAGACCTCCAGCGAATGATCTTTTCTGGATGAGGAGAATTGACAAGAGGCTGGTGACTTGCCCTGATTTGTATCAAATGTACAACTATAATTGAGGAATTTTGTAATTTTTTAGGTTTAGTCTTTCCTTGGTGCAATTTATCAGTCTAGTTGGATTGATTTTTATCATAATGTTAGGGAAACTTACATATTTATGTTTTGTTTTGTTTTTTTTTAAAACTTTCTAGGACCACGGCTGGATTTTGACCCTGATATTGTTGCAGCTCTTGATGATGATTTTGACTTTGACAATCCAGAAAATATCCTGGAAGATGATTTTGTTATACAAGCAAATGAACCACAAAAAGGGTACATAGAGCTTTATAAAACAGTTTGTCGTATGTAAATAGGAATGATGCTCTTTGTTGTTTCATGTGTTGTTGTAGGAAGAAAGAAAGGCTTCAGATTTTAAATTGAATACTTAGGTGTGTTGAAAAAGGTATTACCTTGTGTTATATGGGTGGTAGCTGACAAAGTCAAATTTTCATGTGTTACCCAGGAGATGGGTTTCATTTGTTACTTTGAGCTCATGGATTATACGTATTTGTTTACAGATGCAATGTATGGAATAATAGGATTCTTGAACTATTTAAAACATTACCCTCTATCACATTTAAAGTACATCAGTAATGATATTGATGATGGCTAACAGGTGTTCCCAGAACCTTTACATATGCTTCATGTGATACCCCACTGCATATTACTTCTTTAGGGTTTAGTATCACTCTCATCATTCTACGAACAATGAGAAATTTGGCTAGTTTTAATGTTCAAGAATGCAGCTAGTATTTTGCTTTTTCGCATTTGAGATGTGTAGCTGAATGTAGACATTACCTCCCTCTCAGTGCACAGATGTGTCATCCAACAGTTACCAGAAATGTTTTCAGCTTTCAAACAAAAGTAGTATTATGCTGACTTTGCATCGCTGTTACTGCTAAACTTGTTTTTCTTTTACTGGTTTGAAAATAATCACTTTCTATCTTTGCCTCTCAAGATTTAAATCTGTTACTGCCAAATTGTTTCAGATAACCCAACATTGGTCAGGGCCGTGGAAGGGTCTGTGTATTATTCTAAACTGTTTTATACTTCTGTTCAGGGGATCAGATGCTGAAGATGAAGATGAATGGGAAGATGTGGAGGATGATAGTGATGAAAATGATAGTTGCAGTAGTGATAAAGACTATGATTCAGAAGGTCCTTTATCAGATGCTGGGGTTAATGGACGGACAAAAGAATTTCTTTTTATGCAAGAAGAAACCAGGAGTCGTTTCACAGAATATTCTATGACATCTTCAGTAATGAGAAGGAACGAGCAGTTAACCCTGTTGGATGACAGATTTGAGAAGGTGAGGCAGCTCAAGAATGTAACTGTTAAACATAAGGGTGTTAAATGCTTCTTTGTCTTTTGACATAAAGTGGTGTCCTGTATGCCTGCGCAAAGTCTTACTGCCTTCAGTAGTCAGGGCATCAAACAGCTATTCTTTGCACATATTCCATGTTTAATATTGTGTGCACTAAGTGGCTTGTATTACATAGGTTATAGAGTTAATTGCTATTAAAAGGCCTAACGCTGATACAGTTAAATGAAATTATTCCAGTCACTATAATGAGCATTTGTAGTTGGTGTTACACTTTTATCTGAGAGTTCAACGCAGCAAATCATGTAAGAGTGCCTGGTAAAGACTCACTTCTTTCACCCTTTCTCCCCACTGTGCCAAGTACACATTCATGAAATGATGTCAGAGCAGTTTCAAATACGGTGTAACTTTTGTCCTGAGCTGTGACAGGCTTTTTAATGTACAGATTGAAATAATGCATCAGAATAAGAAACGCTTTCCAGAAACTGATGTATATATTATTTAAAGATAACTTTGTGACTCCCATGCTGAAAGAATACTGACAGTAAGGAGAAAATCCTACTGCAGTTGTGTTTGCCAGTTGTTCAGCAAATGAGAGGGGAGAGGAAAAAGGAGCACATAGAAATAAATGTGTAGATCTTCTTTAAGCTATCAAGAAGTTGCACAACAAATGTGATCTAATTACAGATACCTGCTTCTTTATTTTAGTTTTTTGAACAGTTTGATGAAGATGAAATTGGAGCCTTGGATAATGTGGAGTTAGAAGGCTATATTAACACGGACAATGCTCGGTTGCAGGAAGTCCTGAATGATTACTACAAAGAAAAAGCAAAGAAGTATGTGTTTGCAGAAGTACTGCTTCACATAAGTAGTTATATAATCCTGTGTTTATATTGGAAAGTTTGGGTATGTTCTTTCCTGTTCATGTACTCAAAGATCACATCCCATGTTAAAAGGAGCTACGTATGAGTATTAACCACTTTTTTTATGTTACTGAATATCAACCTTAGCTTATGAGATGATAACATTAAGTGGAGGCTTTTTGTTGGTTTATGTGAGATCATGCTCCTTCTGATAATTGTATTGAATTTAGCATAAGTAATATCTAGAGGCATTCTCCCTTTCCCTTTTTAGTGTAACTTACTTTCCTCCTTATACCTTTATTTTGTTTTTTACAGACTCTGTAGCCAAGTATATTCTCTCTTGCTGATATGCAGCTGATTCCGCTGTGTACCTAGTTACATGATAATAGACCCACAGGTGACTGTTGCGTGGGTACCACTCTTTGGAGCACTGCAAAAATCAGTGCTTGTAAAGCAACCCCGTGTCAATGTAGGACTGCATTTCCACAGTATATCTGCTTTGTCTTAAAGCAGGTGGTATTATCCCAAAGTTAAATGGCCAGATGTTCTCACATTAGTCTTGTGTTTCCTGATTGAAAGATATGGTAATGGGTCCCTTGTAGTGAAAGGTGACTGGTCAGCAGCAGAGTACATAACCACCTCTAGAGCTGCCTCGCTTACAGACTAAAAAGTATACCCACTTCTCTTCCTGCCCTCCAATCAGAAATTTTGTGTGCCACATAACTTTGAAATGCAGAAATTCCTTTTTTTGTCAACCATGCCTCTTGTCCTAATGTTTCGGTTTATTTTGGGGATGCTTACTTAAGGAAACTTACTTTTGCTGCACGTTTCATTAGGGATAGCTTTCTTTGGTTTGGAGTTTTACAGAGGGGAGACAGGGTTTACATAATTACGCATTTTCAAGAAAGGATCAACCTTATTTTTTTTCTTCTCTGGACTTCAAAGTTGCGTGAAACTGGATACACTTGAACCCTATGAAGATTTGGACTCTCCCATGAATGAAGAAAGTGAGGAAGAAAAGGAAGAAGTAGTTGCTGTAGTTATTGAGGAACCAAAAGAGAAGTGGGATTGCGAATCCATTTTGAGTAAGTATCTGAATTTTGCTTGTTTGTTCCTAGGATTTCAAAGTAAATGATAGGTGGTCTTGGAACTTTTC